CATTAGAATTAATATGTAACTTTAAGTTCATAATTTTGACCAAAAAATTATTCAAGTTTTTTGTAGTTTCACAACCTTAAATCGTACTGATACAGATTAATCCTGATTTTACAGTCAGTTTTGGTTTCATCTAAACTTTCTGTGAGCTTCCAAATGTCATTTGTTGCAGGTGTTTCCTCCAGGTGATCACTCAGCTGAGCAGCCTGGTCATGTGACAACTGCAGGTGATGAACAGCTGTGGTGCGTTTCCAGCTGTGAGCAGTTAAAGCAGTGTCACAGTGATGTTGGTATAAAAGTGCCACCACGTCCATGTGACTCAAGCACTCCGGACTCTTTGCATCGTGCAGCACGGCCTTTCCACTACTTTGTTACTCGCAGGTCATCAAAACGAAACACCTGAAACTCTGAACAGGCTGACATCAGTAAATCTTGCTGTTCACATGAGCTGCACGTGTCCGAGGCCTCTCAGCTCACGTCACAGAAAATACGACTTAAAGCTCAAATCTGAAATTAGCGACGACCCGTCTAAACGACTTGAACAGAAACACAGAGTCACCGTTTTTAGTCAAACATTTCTTTATTTATCGTCCGGTCTACTTGTCCTCAGGTTTGTTGAAGCAGTAGGTGAGGCAGCACTTCCCGCAGTAGTGACGGTCAAAGTGGCTCGCCATGAACACGCCGGCGCCGCACTCGTCAGCGGGGCACTCGCGCCTCAGCCGGTGGATTTTACCGTTCTCGTCCACCTGAAGGAGGAAAAGTGTTTTTAATGAAGCCAAAAATGCACAAAACTCAAACTCCAGCGCGTCTCCGGTGGCGTTCTTACCTTGTAGTATTTGAGCACGGCGAGCTTGACCTTCTTCCTCTTGTGCTTGTTCTTCTTGGGGGTGGTGTAGGACTTCTTCTTCCTCTTTTTGGCACCACCGCGCAGCCTCAGCACCAAGTGCAGAGTTGACTCCTGAAAACACCAAGAAACAGGCGTGAGAGGGACGCCAGACGACACAAACACGTAAAAACACGCTCGAGACTTGAATTTAACTCCGCCCCTTAGATGGGTCAGGGTGACAGGAAACCAGGGAGAACCTGACAACCACAACCTCTTATGTGCAGACACAGCTGATGTTGCTGCATCTCTAATTCATGCCTTCAAACAAAAGTCCAACAACAAACTTTATTTATATCGCACATTTAAAAACCAGTGTTGTACCAAAGTGCTTAACATGCAAGAGAACAGGATGACGGCTATGGCAAGGTACCAAAACATGCTGAATGGCATTAAAACAAAAGCAAAAGAAAACTAAGGGTAAAGAATAAAACGGTCAAAATTTAAAAATGATTAAGTAATTAAGAATAAGCCGAAGATAAGAATAAGCGTTAAGCTAACTAACAACAAGCCTTAACTGGTAGAAAAGGCGAGGCTAAATAAGGGTTTTTAACCGCGATTTGAAGGAATGGATGGAATCAGAGTCGCGTATAGCGATGGGGAGGTTATTCCATAAATCGGGTGCAGCCAACAGTCCTGAAGGTGGAAACCGCTGCTGTGACAGGAGGACAGACTTTCCAACGCTTCAGGAGAACTTGAAGGCAGCACAGCCTGTGTGGGATCCACTGAGGATTCAGACTGGAGGTTTAAGCCTGCAGGACTCATTTAAGCCACCGGGGGGCGACAGACTCCAAAGCTGACCCAGTTACAAATTCCAGACCTGGATTTTCCCCCCAAAGTCAAATGAAAACCGGACTTCCTGTCGTCTGGACCTCCTGCTGTGAGCCAACGCTGCCTCGCGTCACAAATCTGTTTCTAGTTCCAACTGTTTGAATCTGAGGCTTCAGCAACGACACGTCCGACTGCAGAGCTTTGGTCTGAATTTATGAACCAACTGCTCCAAAGAGGTTCTCATCCAGATGTTTTTATTCCAACATCTGTCCAAATGCAGCTAGAATTGATCTAAACCCTGCTCTGGGAACTCGATTAAACCCAAAATAGAGGTAAAATAAAAAACACAGCAGCAGCTCATCAGATGACCTTTGAATGACGCTGGCTCTAAATCAAACTGAACTCTGAGTCCACATTTACAGAAAAGCCTTCATTTCTCTGGGGCGGCGTTCCCGGCTCACCTTCTGGATGTTGTAGTCAGAGAGCGTGCGGCCATCTTCCAGCTGCTTCCCGGCGAAGATCAGCCTCTGCTGATCGGGAGGGATTCCTGCAGAGAGCAAACACCAGCTGATCAGGATCATCACCGTTTCCCCAGTAATCAATCAGCACTTGAACTTCCTGTGCTTTGCTGCATACATTTGGTTTCTGGACTCCAGAAACAAACAAACACACACACTCATCTCAGAAACTCAGTATGGTTGAAGCTCCGCCTCCCTGTGACAGCACGTTTTAAATCACTGACCCGCTTGTTGAACATCTGTGACTGTAAATGATTTTGACAGTGACGCTCGTGTCAGCTTCATGGTGCTTGAGTAGATGATGATGGCTGAGCACATCTCTCTTATTTAAATACGGCGACCCGAACGCTTCAAACACTGATTTATTTTGATCACACAACCACCCTGCTGTCTCTACACAGCTGCACTTCTGTTCGTCCCACAGGAAGTTTCACTCACATTTAAACATCAGTTTGTCCTGGTTATTTGACACTTATGCTCCTGTAAGTGTGCCCCGTACACCCCGTCATGATGCTTTCTAAGCCCTCAGTATGCATCTGTAAGACGACCATCTCCCTCACGGACTCCTGCTGCGGTCTGTGGTCTATAAACAGTCTGAACTATGACCCCTGACAGCTCACACATGATTTCTGAAGAGCTCTTATTTCGAGCAGTTTGTGTTTCTCTACAAACACGAAGCTCATCACGTGTTTTCAGGTAAACAGGAAGCTCAGCCTCCCACATTCACCTGTTTTAGGATAAAAAACGCCTCCTGGCCTTTGATGCATAAAGTAATAGAGTAAAAGTAATCAGCCAGGCTCACTCACCCTCCTTGTCCTGGATCTTGGCCTTGACATTCTCGATGGTGTCTGAAGGCTCAACCTGTGGAAGCAGAGAGGACAGGTGAGCCGGGGCAGCACGCGCTTCCGGTCAAAGCTCTACTCACATGCAGATTACAACTCTTTAAACAGAATGACACATTCACTTTTATTAACTAACTACAACTAATCAGGGGTTTACAAGCACGGCACTAAGCTGCTGCGCCCGCTCCACGTGTTTACACTGCCCTGGATAGCTTAGCCGTTAGCCTTCGGTACAGCGTCAGTTTAACGGCCTGATTCCGCCTCCAGACACACGGCTGCAGTTAACACACAGCACCGATCAGTTACGTGTACAAACGGCCGCTCTAATCTAGTTCCACAATAAGTAAAACTCGGGTTAACGGCAGCCCGTGAACGCCGCTGCCCTCCATCACAGCCCGTCACCCACCTCGAGGGTTATAGTCTTCCCCGTAAGGGTTTTCACGAAAATCTGCATCCTGGCGTTCAATCCACCTGCACGGGAAGACAGACAGGACACTTTAGTCTCTGCTGGAGCCCAAACGTCAGTTTAAAAGTGCCGATTTTTAACAAAAACCCGTCAAAAAACGGAGCGCGAGCTTACCACCGGTCTGCTCCTAATGGCGGATCATGAGAAGAGGGCTTTCCTCTCCAGACACGGGGTTTTCTGCACGCGTTCGCAGGGGTTAGGGTCGCCGTTCCGGTGCCTGATCAAAAATACAACGCAAACACTATATTTAGTCATTTTCTGGCGTCTATTTTCTCCCACGTATATCTTTAGTGCTAATGTCGATTTTCTTTACACTTTAATAATCATTTGGATGATTATTTAAAGAAAAAGTCGACTCATCTACTAAAAACAACATTTCCCAGGTGCACTTTCGCGGTAACGACGGCGACGCGAGGATTCCCTTAAAATTGTGGGAAGACGGGAAACTAAACGGAAAGTTGGCCTAAAAATATAATCGTAAAGAACAATGTCCGATGCACAAATGTCCCGCAGTTCACGTTTCACAGCCGACATCCTGACGACTGACAGCGACCGGAGCTTCATCCAGTCTTTATACGAGTTCATGGAGCACGAGAAGAAGTGCCTGCAGTGTCCCGACGAGGGTCCCGACGAGCTCCGATACACCGTCCACCGCTCCGTCTTCAGCAAGGTGTTACAGTTAAAAAAAACCCGGTACAATTTAAAAGGAAAACTGGAGAGGTTTACTTCTTCAAAAATGCAACTTTACGAGGAAAGCAGAAAATCTGAAAAACTCTGTAAAAGGAGAAGACCCTGGTACTCGTATAAACCCTCACTGCCGTTTTTAAGGGAAAAAATCCACAATTTTACTTCTTTTACAAAAAAATAAAATAATAAATCGGAAGACATAGAGGACCGAAAACCCGGCGTGACAAATTTACCTGATAGTAAAACGTGCAAACTGAATTTATGTTATTAGAAAAAACTCAACAATTTACAAAAGAGGAAAAAAAAACAAATTAATGAGAAAAATTAAAGCAAAAAAGAAAATGAACTTTTCCTGTGTCCTCCTTGGTTCTGTCAGGTGATTGGACGAGCAACAGCATATAAAAGGCTTCTGTTGGCCATAAAGTCGGAGTATGACAGCACCATCAGGGAGCTGCAGAGGAGGGAGGAGGAAGCCAGGGCAGCACGGCTAAACGTGGCAGCCTCGGAGTCACGCGTGAAATCACTGCTTACCTGTGAGCGCCAAGCCGCCCACCTGAGGGAGCGGTGAGTGACGGCTGTGGAAATAAGACTTACTGTATGTAGACTACATTAACTTTCCTCCAGGGATTCATGTGTAAAAAAGTCACCATTGTCAGAGATGAAGGTGAGAAAATACACTGTCTGAAAAAAAACAACAATTATTAGTCGATATTTTTCCATTTCCTTTGTTTTTTTTTGTCTCTTTGCAGGATCTCCACCCTTCAGAGGGAAACAGCAGAACTTCAGGAGGAGATCGAGAAAACTTCTAAAAAGCAGAGCACATGGATACCCGGTACACCCTCAGATAGATGCGTTAACGCAGGGTCCTCAAAGCCTGTGAGGCACACATGTTAGCATGTCACATCTCCAAAGACACAAATACGAAGGACATGATTAAAGTGAAAAGTGATGCAAAACTACACAAATGCAACAAAATGTTAAAAGAATATAAAATACTAGAACAAAATGATAAAAACCTTCAAATAAAAAAAGATTCAAATGAATAAATATAATAATAGCTGAGCTTTAGTGGAAGTAAAATATGAAGTTAATTGATGAGTGATGGATTATTATGGATTAGCAGTACAGACGTTTTGTTGTTGTCTCGGCTTTTTGGTCATTGTTTACATATGAGGGTGTGGACATGGACATGCTGTCACCTTTAACTGAGGTTATTGGATAATTGACGCTTCTGCAAACTGCTGTCAGTCTCTCCACCTGTGCTGTAACAGAGTGAGGCTGGCAGGATGCTTACAGTGAGTCCAGCTGAGAGCTGATGAAGACCTGTAGAGACTAAACTTTTACCTTACAACGTTTCAGTTGGTAAAAGCTTTTCTTCACTGATCTGATTAAAGTAAAAGAACTTTACACAAAAACTCAAATTCTCAGCTACATTTCAAAGGTGTGGGTTGAACATATAGTTCGGGTGTTTGTAGAGCTCGGTGGTTCAGATAAAGTTTTCTCATTCAGGATCAAAGAGTTCCTGATATGCGTGGCAGCTGGCTATAACCCACTGCTATAACACTGACACTGTTCCTGAAAGATGGAGCTGCTGACCTAATGGAAACGGGAAAGGACCTGTAATAGATCCTTGGGGGATCCCACATTTAACCCTCTCAGGCTCAAATTAAACTTTTTGTTGCTGATGCACAACCAAGTCCTGCAGTGGTACTTCTGAGTAAAAAAAACTCATAAAACATGTATGTGGGGTAATCAGGTTGTTAGTGTTTAACTGCTGCAAATCGGCAACGCCGGCCTGGAGAGGGTTAAAAGAAGCTGGATGAAGAGCAATTCCCTGTTTCAGAAGCGGTTTACAGTGTTTATAATGTGATCGTTCACAGTGGTTTCAAATCAAATCAAAATATATTTATATAACACATATTAAAACAACAGTGTTGACCATAGTGCTTCACAGTCAGTAAAAGCATGAGACAATTAAAACAAACAATAAAAGAGGACAACAAACAATAGGTAACAACACAACAAGCTAGAACAGCAACTGGACAGAATCAAAAGCCAAAGTTTTAAGACGTGATTTAAAAGACTGGATCGACTCGGCAGTACGAACATGAACAGGGAGGTTATTCCAGAGTCTAGGTGCCACGGATGCAAAGGCCCGGTCACCTCTCGACTTCATTCGAGACCTAGGTTGTGCTAGGAGCCTGTGATTGGACGATCTAAGTGCTCTGGTTTGTCTTCCTAGTTGTCTCCGTAAGCTCAAAGTGCAGCGGACACAACAACATATCAGCTGGGCTTTAATCGTACATGCTGAATGAGCTCAGGCCCAGCGGCAGTGTGTCTGGATCCATGTGTGGATGCAGAGATGATCTGTGTTCGATGCCAGGGGTTTCCAGATGTGTGCCTCAGCCCATGCAGTGGTTTCCACCTCAGGATCAGATCTGCTTTTAAAGCAGTGCTGCCCGAAATCTCAGCACCACCAAAAACACAACACACCCCTCTGTGGTGGGTCTCCTGTTAGATCCCACAGAGCTGTCATTCATAGCTGCTAAACATTCTGTCAGGTCCTCCAGGGTTGATCTCCACACTCGTGTCATCTCGCAGGTTTGACAGTGGCTGCGTCCGAGGATCCCGAGGCTCTGGACGGGTACCTGAAGGACATGGAGGCGCAGAGAGACGCTCTGCTGGACAGAAAGAGTCACTGTGTTCCTCTGGAGGTCAAAACTAAGTTGGACGCCGAGCTGCAGGCCGCCAAACGCCGCAGAGACGAGCTGAGTGCCGAGAACAACCACCTGACAGTCCTGTAAGAGCAGAAAGTCACAGGAAGTCATACAGTTCTGTACATGTGCAGGTCATCAGTAAGACTTCGTGCTGGACGAGTGCAGAATATTTTAGAATTAGTAGTAACACAAAGATGTAGTCATGCATGATGCAAAAACATCATCTCAGTTTGATAAAAAGGTGCCTTTTATTTTGAAAGGTTAGGGAATCTCTTCCTCCTGAGCACCTCTGCAGACTCCTGCAGGAGCAGATGAGGAAATGTGTTTGACACCAACAGGAAACAGATTATTGAAAATAATGAAAGCAGGAAACAAAGTTTTTAGACAGAAAGTCAGCATGAAATCAGATTTAATCAAAACAAACCTGATTTTGGGCTCCGGCTCTGTTTTAACGCTGATCTCACACAACAACATCCTGAACATCGTCTGCAAGTATTCAGAGTCAGAACGAGTCCTTACAAACTGAACCCAACCACCTCAGAATCAGACCAGAGGGAGTCGGGGTCAGAGGTCAGCCTGATAACCAATGAACCCTTGCATATGTTCTAACATCTTCCCACAGGCTGATATCAGCCTTTAAAGTTTACCCAGAATGCACTTTTGTAACTTTGCTCCAGTGAATTCTGAGAATCAGACCCAGCATCAGGCTACGAGTCGCAGTTTATTCAGCCTGGATCTCATCACACTGACACAGAAACAAACACATCCGAGTTATAAGCAGACGAGGAAATATTAGGTAACAAAAGTTGCAGGGAAGTTAAAGAGAGATGATCAGAGCATCTTAATATTTAAGGTGAACCAACCAAAACTGACAAAACGAGCGACCTGATGTGAACCTGCAGATTATAACTGACACTGTATCTGCACAGTATTTAAGTACTCCACTGTTTCCACACGCA